AAGATCAAAAAAAGTAAAAACCAACAGCAAAATGTGACCCAAACTCTCAGAGCATCCAAGCATGGTACCCTATGCTGAACCAACTAGCTTCCCAGGGATGAAAACTGTCATGAATTTCTTGTGAAGGAACAGCAAAATGCACTTCTGACTGCAGCCTCTTGCTCCACGGCAACTGCATTACAAAGGAGGACCACCAAGCTGAAGCACCTAAAAACCATGAGAAAGACATGTCCCAAAAATATCCCAAGCTAGAGACAAAACTATATATTGATATAACATTTACAGACTATAAAGCACTAAGGTACAAAATGACACGGAGCTGTCATACCAGCAGAACTGAGGGAGAACTTCTGAAGTCCTATTTGTACACTTCTCTCTTCTAGTTTTTGACAGTGCAAGCATTAAAATCTATGTTGTGTTCAAGTCCAACCTTGCAGTATTCAGGCTCTGAAGCCTCTAAACGTACGTCAACCAGAGCAGGAAAGATGTCACTGAAAAAACAACACTGGTCTCAGCCTCTGAAAAAGTTTACTCTGCTTTTGCCAAACTTTGGTAATTCAAATCAAAGGCATAAGATGAACCTCAAGAAAAAAATTCACCTGAAGTGTTATTGTAACAAACATGACTTTGAGGTATTATATTCACAGAAACAATCAGTCAGAAGAACAGCAGCACTACACAGTTTCTTCCCAAGCTTACTAATAGCCCTCAGTGAGTTTTCTGTACTACATTAACAGTAGCATTGAAAGAAAAGCTTGGAGTTATATTGAAATTAAAACATACCAGATTCCCACTTTTAACATGCCCACAAGCAACAGTAATCACCTGCAAAGGACAGACTTGCAAGACTTATTTCCATTCTACTATGGGTTATTAGGCAGCTTCAGACTACCAGAAAAATAGTATTATGCCATTAAACCCAAACCAGAGGCAAAAACATACCTTCAGTCAAGCAAAAGAACTAAATATTTTTAATTTTAAGTGACTAATTCTAAAACGTTATGATATAAAAAAGCAGCCAGAAACATAGCTTTCTTTTTTCCTTGTATGACTGAGCATTCAGACTTTGAATTTTGGGGTTGTTGTGGGAAAGAATGAGGCATGTTTATAACTTTATATCAACACTTTGTCTAACATTTAGGGGATGCCAACAGAGAACCAGTTAGGGACACAGTCCTAGTTCACACAAATAGAACACAATGAATGTTCTGTCAGTTATTTTTCCTTTCTGTTACCATTTCTTACTTTTTTTATTTTATTTTCTACTTGAAGGCCTCCTTCTTAGAGCCACAGATTTCCCACCAGAACCATTAACAAATTTTAATTGACTTTTTTCATCTTTAAAGTAACATACCAATGGATGCACTGATTTTTAATAAAAAATATTTTCTGACTATTTCACTATCCTGCCCGGAGTTACAATGCTTAGTCACTCAAGCCTCAACACTGCACGCATGTTGCGAGGAAGCCTGTTCACTGAACGCGTGCAATAGGCAGCATAATTGCCCGTACCGTGTAGGTGTTAAATGTGGGTTAAGTGTTTTTTATTGGTTTCATCAATTGCTATTTCCCTTCTCCATGTTCATCCCAGTTACATTACTCTTCCACAACCTAAATTAGTCTGTTGTGGAAGAGCTTTGTCTGAACCAAGAGGAATGACACAGCAGGAAAGCACAACCTTCAGAAGAACCATGATCAACTCTTACAGAACCAAGCTCAGGCTCAGCAAGGCCACACACAACACCTTCATGTTCATGACAGCTCACCCCCCTCCACAAAGTAGGCTTCTTCTGAGCAAGCAGAAAAGTGTCTGCAGCAAAGGCATGGATTCTTTGTTGATAAGCCTTCGCCAGGATGAAGCTTGCTTTGAAAGATACGACTTTTTATTATTTAACATATAAGAAAACTCTCATAAATATCTTTCTCATGTCTAAGAATAGACTTTTCAAAGCCCAACAATATTTGAATAAACGCTGCTTTGAAACATCATTCATGCTGAGAAATTAGGAATCTGTGCCTGAAGCGAGCCATCACGCTATGGAATCTGCAGTACCTCATGAATTGCAATTGCTAACTTTTGTGATCCAAGGCTATTAGATGAGGAAGAGAACGGAGCGCAGCAGCGAACAGGCACAAAGGCAATTAACAACACCATGCAGCACCTCGGTCACATCCAAGTTAATTCACCTGCACGTTCAAACCTGAACATTCAGATTCAACAGTACATTTAGCTGGTTGTAACACCAGTGGCACAACACGATCAGAGAAGCAAGGAAACAGATTGTCATATTGCAGCACCCCGTGTTCATTGGAGGAGAGAAAGAAAGGTGTGATGAAGGAACCTAATTAGCTCTGATGGACTGAGAGCTGGACGGGAACCAAAATATCAGTTCTGCAGGTGGAGAAGACAAGCTGATTTCTAAGACGGTGGTGTGTAGAGCAACAGGACTTGGCAAGAGCCCAGATATGAGGAACAGAAGGAGATTAAAAGGACCCAACAGGGAGAGAAGGGTGGCTATCTGAAGATAAAAGGGGGGGGAGGGGTGGGGGAGAAGAAAGATTTAGGATCCAAAAACCCCCAGCCAAGCAATGTAACAGCAAGTAAGTCACCTGTTACTGAGTCTTTTCCTATTTTCTCAGCATCCACATATGCTAGGCTCACAACAGAAAGGAACTCCAGCCACAGCCATGTATTTAAACACAGCCAACTATTTCTGCATTCAGTACGATCTCTAACTCTCCAGCAATCTTCATTTAGATGCTTCCTAGAAGTGCTGCTTCTTAAACGATTTTTGTTTCAATCTTTTTAGGGGTAAAGTCTGATCAATTTTGAAGACAGGTACTCAGCTACTTCCAGCTGGGAAAAAGCAAAGGCTTAAATAATTATCCCATAAAGGTGAAAAACATTTTTTAACAATAACTCTCATGCTTGAAGCATCAAAACATTAGGATTTTTTTTCCACGAGGAGTAGTTTGCAAACCACTTGAAAACAAAGCAGCTGAACACCTTGAGAAAACAGCATACACAGGGACAGCGCTCTGGTTGTGCAGAGCGCGATTTAAGCAAGCTCTTTCTGCATGTTGTACAAATTGTACATCTATGATGCTTCAAATTAATGGTGCAAAAACACACAATAAACAGCTAAAAATCAAAACAAACAAAACCAAAAGCCACACAAGATTCCTCAGTCACTTGTCTCCAAGTATGCACTGAAAAGCATGCAGAGTTCCAGGGCCTTCTTCATTAGCTTACCCCTTTTAAGACACGAAAACAAAGACGAGGCTTGTAAAAGCAGTCGTCTAAATCTGCATGCAATATACACAGGCACTTAGCACTGCTCTCACACACCCCTCGTTACCATCAGAGAACAAGCCAGCGCTATAGTTAAGGCAACAGTGAAAGGAGGGTATGTTAATGTAACTTCATCAAACTAGAGCTCTATTGCCACAAAACAGAGACGTGAGGAGCTGTCAATAGCACCCTGTAATAAAGCACAGTCTATATGGCTGTTCTAAAGGAGAAGAATGCGTAGCTTCCGGGAGCCTTCCATTGATGCCTTTGTACAGAGGCAGAACCAGTTTAAGAAGCTCCCATTCTCCCCAGCCCACTTACACCCACAGCCAGGGTCACTGCCTCTCCAGACCTACCAGCACAGCAGCTTACGAATGCTGAGGGACTTAAACCTCTGCTTTCTGCCAAGGGGACTGATAAGAAAGGGACCTGGTCTCACAACGCAGCCTCCCCCCTCACAAGCGTTTCTATGAGCACACTAAAGAGAAAACGGGGCATAAAAGCAGGAGCGAGCACAACTCAGCCAGACTCTGCTGCAGAGGAAAACACGCTATGCCACTACAATGGGAGACACTGCCTTTATTTTAATTTATGCAAATTACATACTCAGTTACTAAGCTACACACACACACGAGATACCTCACGCTCTGAGAACATCAAACTAGCCCCATCAGACTTGCATTATTTCTAGTATAAAGATGCTAGAGATGCTATGCTGCTTAGCTGTTTTTAGAAGAGAAAGTTAAACACGTTGAAGGCTCTGCTATTGAAATGGAATCCTCCAGAACATCTCAGTCCTTCTGTAGCCCATGATTTTTTTAAGTTTGTTGAAAGCACGTCTAACAGAATTACATGCCACATGAAACAGCACTTTTTCCTAAACTCTTTCCAGCTTCAGCAACAAGTTATCCCCTTACCTGGAGAACTCCTATTTGACATTTCTGGTCTTCACCCCACAAGGGCTGAGCCCTGGCAAAGCCCTGCCCCGTCACTGCAGTCCCACTCACGCCAACAAAACAGCGGGCAGCAACACAACCTTGCTGCAAGATCAACAGCACTCGTGCCTCTGCAACGCTTTATTCCCAGCCCAGTTTGATATCGCTCAAAATATTTGGGGTTCAGATGCAGAACAAGAGGGGTAAAAGTTACAGAGTACGGTTTTCTGAAATGCTGACTGAATTACCATCAGTTAGCATTTTGAGATTATAATGTTAGAACTTCAGCTTATTTCTCTGTTCCTTTAGGAATTGCTGTTATGTTCTGACTACAGCGGGTCTTCACTTTTTTTATTATTATTATTATTATTATTATTATTATTATTATTATTTGCAAAGCCCTCAACAGCCTCCACGCGTTGAAAGACACCGTCACCGCTTCCTGCAGCCACCAAATGCGTTTCGCCTTTAGGTCCTCTATATAACCACCCTGCCACCACTGCCTGCTGGGATGGGCTGGGGAGCCGGCCCCGCTGCCCCCCTGCCGAGGAACCCGCTCCTGAGGGGCGTGAGGAGCGGGGCAGGGACGGGACAAGGGGGGAGCAGCGGCCCCTCACGCCCCCCGGGGCCGTTCTGCTCCCCCGGCGGCCTCCCCGGGGCTGGGCACAGCGAGCCGCCTCTTCTTCTTCTTCCTCCTCCTCCTCCTCCTCCTCCTCCCGCCTCCCCCCCCCCCCCGACCGTTAGGGGCCGTTGGGGGCCGCCCGCCGACTCACTGCGGAGGTTGTGGATGAGCTCGGCGTGGCTGGCGCCGCCCGACTTCCAGGCCATGGCGAGGCACACCCTGCGCAGCAGGTAGAGGGCCGCCTTCAGCGCCGCGACTGCGCACAGCAGCTTGCCCAGGAAGGACACAACCTCCAGCGCCGACACAGGCGCCGCCTCCTCGCCTCCTCCCCCTCCTCCTCCGCCTCCTCCCGCCACAGCCGCCGCGCGCCCGCCGGGGGGAGGGGCCACGCGCCCGCCGCCCCGCGCGGCCGCCATGGGGAAGCGCGCATGCGCCGCCGAGGCCGCTTCGGGGGCGTACGGGGAGCGGAGGGATTGGGGGGGGGACGCGCTCCGGGACGCGGCCGCCGGTCGCTCCCGGCGGTAACCCGCGCGCCCGCGCGCCGCAGCCAATCCGGGCGCGCGGAGCCGCGCCGCGCTCTGCACGGGGAGCGCCGATTGGTGGCGGGGAGAGCGGGAGGGGCAGGCCTACGTGTCGGCGGCTGCCATTGGTCGGGTGGGGAGGGCGGGCGGCGCGGGACTGAGGAGGCTGCTGACGGGGCAGAGCCGCGCGCGTTAAACCGCCGGAACGGCTCGGGGGGGCGGCACCCCCAGGTGCGAGGTTAATAAACTAACGGCGTCACCCACAGCCATAATTCAGTTCAGCCAGTTAATTCAGGCAAAGGAGATGAGGAGAACGTGGGGATTTGCGTTTCTGGCTAGCACGCCGTGCATGGCAAAGCTGGCAGTCACCCATTGTGCACACCGGGTCTCCAGACCCTTCCCATCTGGTTCCTTCAAACGCGGAGACGGCTCCGCTGCTTCGTTCTGTATTCAGCATCTGTCTTCTCTCCAGGCAGCTCTCGGGAGCTGCCCTACAGGCTGTCCCAGAATATAAAGGGTCTCCTTGTTATACCCAGTGGGCCAAGAGAGGAGGAGAGAAGCCCTGGAGTTAGAAGAATTCCCAAAGGGCAGCGAGTACAGAGAACAAACAGACATTGTAAAAAAACACACACACAAAAATACTTCATTGTTTTAAATGCAAAAGACATTTTCTGTTGTGAGACATAAGCAAACTGCATTGCTCTCACATAGAGGCTGTTGGCAAGAAATTAGCTGGCCCATGCTTAAAAGCATTCCAGGGATATTTACCCCCTCGGGAGACCAGAAATACAAGAGAAACCATTTACACACAGTCTGCCCGTTCCTACCGATTTAGGCTTAAGCTTGTCACAGAGCGCAGAGAAAGAGACCACCTTTATCTCTAGGAGCACACAGGCCTGCCTGGAACCTCAAGGTACCAACTGGCCACTTGCTGGAGGTGTTCTTGGCGTGACTCTTCAGGGAGCAGCAGAACAAAGCAATATCTGGGGTGTCTTGGGTGGTTACCAGGCATCTGCGAAGGAAACCGAGTTAGGTTCTGCAGGTTTCCAGGAATTTTAAGACAGGCCAATTTGCCTCAAATGTCCCTGAGAAACAAGAATGCACCAGTGGCAGCGGGATGCACCCCTTCGGGCAGGAAACACGAGGGTCATTGGCTCTTTCTGCTCTCTAACTCCAGGCCATGAGCTTGGTTTTTAAACTTCCTAAGTGTGTGCCCATCAAGATAAGCCTGTAAAAAAAAAACAAACAAACAAACAAACAAACAAACAAACAAACAAAAAACATTCTATGCTAGAATAAAAACAAGCCTTTTAAAAAATAAATAAATAAATATGTGTTTTCTGGCCATGAGCACTCCTGTGGAACATCTCCATCCCCTCTGCTGCTCAGTGTTCCTTCATCCTCTTCCTCCTTGCTTGTCCAAGCCAACCCAAGCACCTCGGGCCCCAGATGCCCACAGTCAGTCACAGGCTCCTTGGTCTTCCAGAGGGGCAGCCACCTCCCCAGCTCCTCCAGGGAGCTGCTGCAGGGACGGCCCTGCCAGGGAAGAGGCAGGGGAGTGCCAGCAGCCAGAGGAGTCCATCATGTGAGTGCTCTGAAATGGAGATCCCACTAATTTTAAGCACACAGCCCATCTTGGATCTCTCTCCTTTTCCGCACATTCACCCACATCTCCGTCCCTTATACATTTATATATAAACCCCTCCGTGCTACTATTTCTGTTTCGTCCCTTCCCTCCCACCTCATGAACCCGTTAGAATTTTGAAATCCTTTGAATTTAAAAAGCATATAAAAAGTTGGTCATCACTGTCTGATCCCATCTGCTTCTGCATATACATACCAGAAGCAGAAGCTTCCTTATGAAATGTTCCTGCTGAACATTTCCGCAGCTCTGTCCCACACCACACATTAATTGGCTCCTACACCTACACTTGCTCCTCTCCCTGCCTCCGTTCTGTTTTTAACTTAATCACTCGCCTTCATCTCACGTCTCTTCCTGTAGTCTCAAGCCAGCCTTGGCGTGTGCCTTCATTTTGTATTTCCATTTCCAAAGTTTACATCTAGGGCTATTTTGTGCTTTGCAGCCCCTGGTCAGGGCAAGCAAAGGCTGGGGATGTGCTCAGGGCCCTGGTGCTCTGCTCGCACATCTGCTCTGCAGTGCCCTGCATCATCAGCTGCGCTTGTTCAGGAGACTGAGCTGGGCACAGCTCCAGGAGCCATGACCAGCAGTAAAGACAGCGTCTCCAAATAACTCTCCTAAAATATTGCTGCATGATAATTGGAGGAAAGCAGATTGTCGGCAAGTAGAAGTCAGCATTGGCTTCCCCCTGCCCTTGCACACCCGCTGGCCGGGGGGTGCCTGCCTTCCCAGGCTCTGGCACCTCTGGCAGAGGGAGGCACACCTTTGGTTCTCATCGCCCTCGCTTGCACCCCTAACGTTAGCCACAGCTGAGGACAACCCATACAACCCCCTTTTTGTCTCCACTAGTGTGTTTGGACCTGATGCCCAGAGCCAGCTTTGTCCAGTCTTAAAGTCTTCATTGGCAACCTCAGAAATACTCGATGAGGCATTTTTTTCTCATGGTCTTGTGCTCGGCTTTGTACTGTGTTCAACTTTGGGCCCCTCACCACAGGAAGGACATTGAGGCCCTGGAGTGTGTCCAGAGCAGGGCTACAAAGCTGGTGAGGGGTTTGGAGCACAAGTCCTGTGAGGAGCGGCTGAGGGAGCTGGGGGTGTTTGGTCTGGGGAAGAGGAGGCTCAGGGCAGACCTCATTGCTCTCTGCAGCTACCTGAAAGGAAGGTGTGGGGAGCTGGGGGTCGGCCTCTGCGCACAGGTAACCAGTGACAGGACCAGAGGGAATGGCCTCATTCTGCACCAGGGGAGGTTCAGGTTGGCAATGAGGAGACATTTCTGCTCAGAAAGAGCAGTCAGGCACTGGGACGGGTTGCCCAGGGAGGTGGTGGAGTCACCGTCCCTGGGGGTGCTCAGGGAGAGGCTGGACGTGGTGCTTGGGGACATGGTCAGTGGTGACACTGGTGGTAGGGGTGGTTGGACCAGGTGAGCTTGGAGGGCTTGTCCAGCCTTAGCGATTCTGTGATTCATTTTATTTAAATGCGCCATCACAGTGAAAACGTGCAATAACACACATAACGATCAGACGCAAAGGACATAAGACACGTAACGGTTTAACCCCCAACCCCTCACAGCCCCGCTGCCGCCATTTTGGGCTGAGCGCGGCGGGCACCCCCTCAGCGCCCTCCCCGCCATGCCCGCCCCCTCCCCGCCCTCCCGCCCTTCACCGGCCCGGCAGCCAATGGGGGGCGGCGCGGCGGGAGCGCGCGGCGGGGCGGCCATGGAGGAGGTGAGCGCCCGCTTCGTGGCGCAGAAGATCAGCAAGGCCCGATGGCGGCCCCTGCCCGCCGCCGCGCTGCAGCCGCCCGACATCTTCGCCACCGGCTCCTGGGACAACGAGGTGAGCGGCCGCGGGGGTCCCGGGGGGGGTCCCCGAGGGGGTCACTCCTCGGGGCGGGCCTGCGGGAGCGTTGATGCGGTGCGTTCTCCGTGCAGGACAACCGGCTGGCGCTGTGGGCCGTGGGGGAGCTCGGCAGCGGCGAGTACCTGGGAGAGCCTCAGCTGCTCTGCGACATCGGGCACGATGGTGACGTGATGGACATGCAGGTAACACGGCTCCCCTTTCTCTCCTGACACTTTATCAGTAATTATTGTAGCACTAATATTCCCCCCCAAAACCCCAAACCCCAACTAATCCTTATGAAAAAGGGCAAAGCTGGCCAGTATCAGTCTTTGCTTTTTACCAATAAGTTAAGATGCAAGGATAATCGCTTTGATTTTAGACTACTGACGTCAACTCATCAGGTGCTCGTTATCTCTCTTTATAAAGTTTTTGGACCAGGAGAGAATTGTTGTTGGCTCTTCAACAGGAAGCGTAACCGTGTTCCGTCACCATCAGAATAACCAGGTGGGTACCTCGCACCAGCTCAAAGCTGCCGCTCTGCATAACACAGGGCCAGTTTGATCTTGCTCTAAGATTTCTCAAATCTGCCACAGCAAGAAACATCTGGCAACAAAAAATATTATTTTTTTTGAAGTCTGTCAGAAAAAAAGCTTTAGTCGTATACATACAAGGAAAAAAGAACATTTTGCACTCATACCACATTAATTAGGTTCCAGTGCCAGACAGACCGGGTTATATGCTAACGTATCTGTAGCTACATAGTCAGTTCACTGAAAGCACGCTTGAAAAGATTAGATTGTTAACTACAGATATATTTGAGTAGTTTCAGGCAATGGGAATTAATGAATTTGAGTTTTTGCATTATTTTAAAACTATTTGACTCTATAATGTCTAAAACTTAGTCACAGAATCACAGTCTTTTGTTTTGATTATAAGTCACTGAGAATGAATTATTTATTCACAGTGACACAACAAAGACTAATATTTGTTAGTAGTTTGTCACACTACCTAAAAGAAACTAAATTCCTTGCAATCAGAATGTAAATCTGACCTTACATTTTGTAAAGGCCTCAGCTCTTTTCCTTGGCCTAGGGAGAGATTGGAGGGATAAGTCTGGTGAGGGACATTTTGCATTCATAAATAGATTCTGTTAATTCTGAATTCCAGCTCTTGTTAAAAAGGTGGTTCAGAGAAGACAATCATTGTCTTATTGAAGAGTTATGCACTCAAGAGTTGAGGGAAATTCAGATTTCTGATTCTTACTTACGTTGAAGACTGTCATTCCTGTGAAGTGGTATGGCTTTCCTGGAGCTTCTTTCTGGTTTTGTGAGTATTCTGAAAGCTTTGTCCTATCAGGATCATCACTTAACAGCAGAATTTTGTGTCTGGTTGCTATTTAGACTTTATCGGTCAACCAGCGGTGGGAAAAAGCCCATTACCATGTGGATCAAGACACATCTTGTGGTGGAGCAGCGTGTACTGGAGTCATCTGCAACAACCC